ATTATTTCACATCAAAAATGGTTAAAAACAAAAGCAGCCACATTATCAGGGATGAAATTCAGTGTCTGGTGTCGTCTACGTTTTCCAGGCTTCAGGCTGTAGTTTACTGCTTATCTACAGCCAAATATTAAAAAAGTGAAAGTTTAATTTACGATTGTTAATTTGTAACATTGCTTTGGTCCCATACAAAGTGGGAGACCCATGGGATGAATGTATCTTTGAAGGGATCCAGACCTTGAGGTGCCATTTATTTCATATAGATATTTGACTTTGAACGAGTTACATCATCATGTAGGGATCTATGTCATCACATATGACGTACGTGATGGTATCAGGGACCAAGAGGCATTGTCAGGTCAGAGAGGATACATAATCCCTCTAGCTAGTCTGGGGCCTCCTATCCGTGGGACATGCCTCTAAAGGGAGGCGTTCAGGAGGCATCCTAATCATTATGCCCAAACCACCTTAATTGGCCGGTCTACATTCCTACCCTCATCTATGGTCACGAGCTTTAGGTAGTGACCAAAAGAACAAGCAACCGAAATGAGTTCCCTCTGCAGGGTGTCTGGGCTCTCCCTTAGAGATAGGGTGAGAAGCTCAGTCATCTGGGAGGGACTCAGTAGAGGCGCTGCTCCTCCACGTCAAAAAACCAGTTGAGGTGGTTCATCTGATTAGAATGCCTCCTGGACGCCTCCCTGGTGAGGTGTTCCAGGCATGTCCCACTAGGAGGAGGCCCAGAGGGAGACCCAGGACACGCTGGAGGGACTGTGTTTCTCAGCTGGCCTAGGAACACCTTGGGATTCTCCCAGAGGATTTGGCCCAAGTGACCAGGGAGAGGGAAGTCTGGGTTTCTCTGCTTAGGCTGCTGCCCCTGCGACCCGAACCCGGATAAGCGGAAGAAAATGGACTGTCAGATGGATGGACAACTTAACTTACTCCTTTCAATGTGGCTCTTCTCCAAGCTAGCCCCGGATGACAGAGCACCTCGGCCTAATCTCAAAGGCCAAGTGCAATATGAAGGAAGCTCATTTCCACCGCTTGTATCTGGGATCTTGTTTGTTCGGTCATGATCCTCACATCATGATAGGTGAACGCTGAAGCATAGACAGACCAATAAATTGCAAGCTTTGCCTTTTGACTCAGCTCTTTCACTACGACTGACCAAAGCAATGCCCTCATTACTGACAATGAAGGATGCGTCACTAGCAAGGGTGGGTTTTCTTTGGATACTTCTGGTCCTTCCCACTGTTATACATCAGGTTAATTGGGGGGTTTTAAAATGCCCTTAACAGTGGATGTAGAGAAGCATGGTCATGTTTCTATATAGTACCAGAGATGGACTGGTGACCTGTCAATTCAGTTAAATTCAGTTTAGTTTATTTATATAGCACCAAGTCATATCAAACAGCCTCAGGGCACTGAGCACTGGACAAAGAATATTCAATCTAAGGAAGCCAGCAGATTATGCTGAATGTCCAGGATGTACTCCACCTCTTGCTAAAAAGACTGCTGGGACAGGCGTCCACGACCATAACCCGACAACACAAAAAAGGCATAGTATTAGTGAGAGGATTGTCATTTTATTATTTTATAATAATTATCCTATTAAAGTTTTTAAAATATTATAAAACAGCTTAAATACAACCTACTGTGTGCTGTACAGAGCAAGGCAGTAGTGTTGCAGCTTGAGCTCCAGAAAGAGTATGATTAGCATACCGTCAGAACACTGTTACAGATGTGTTGATATGACCTTTAGCACAATTTGAACTTTCAAGCACCATTAAATCATATACAGTATATTCTACATCACTGCATGTTGGAGTATCTTTAGACACACCACATGACATTTCCATGGGGACATTTTTTTTTATGGAAACAGATTGCCTTTCTTTTTGCTTTTTTAAATGTCAGAAGTTGTTTGTTTTTGCTCAAAATTTTTAGTTTGTTTAGCAGTTATGTGAATCATGCTAGTTTTTGATTAGTTTTTTTGTGGGGGGTATTTTCTATTTTATGTCACTCACAGCCTGTGCAGTTATGACCTGCCAGCTTCTACATAAAGAGTCAAAGGTAGCTGCTTTTTCAAATGTTATATCTACAAATTTGTATTTACACAAGGGAAAACACTTGAACATAACCATGAGGATTTTAGTTTTTAGTCCACTAGCTTCAAAGATAAACTGTCAGCATTTTGAAATTAATCACACTTTCATTCTGTCACACTTTCTAATATTTTTCCCCAAGTACATTTTCTAAAGTGTAATGTTGTGCTGTTATCAGCAATAAATGAATAGATTAATCACATTCTAAACCACAACCTTCCTCCAGGGTTAGGAGTTTGTCCGGTATGCTCATTAATGTRAACACAAGTTTGTAAACTTGTATCAATGTTTAATCATGTTTGTCATAATGACACAGCCGAGAGTGAAGCAGCCAGGATGAGGATCAGTGCCTCTAAATCTGAGACCATGGTCTTCAGCCAGAAAAGGGTAGAGTGCCTCCTCTGGGTCGGGGAGGAGATCCTGCCCCAAGTGGAGGAGTTTAAGTATCTTGGGATCGTGTTCACGAATGAGGGAAGAATGGAGCGGGAGATTGATAGGCGGATTGGTGCTGCATCTGTTGTGATTTGGGCACTGTGTCAATCCGTCATGGTGAAGCAAGAGCTGAGGCTATCTGATTAACAACACTACATTTGTGTGGATGGCTTGGACTTGTTTTTACCAGTCAGATGGCTYTTTAGGATCTGCCTCATTATTACAGGTAGCCTACTTGGTTGTGGATGAATTTCTTYGAGCTTTATTATGGTTAAGGCTTTTGTAAATGTCATGGACATCTGCRTTGCTGCCTTCAGGAAGTTCAGTCCCTTCATTTACAACCACCTTGCCTCTCTTGGATATCATTCAATGATCCAGTCCAAATGACATTCTAATGTCCTTTCTGTTTGTCCTAATGAGGTGGATCAGTGAGTCGATGTCTCRTTCATTGTTGGCATACATCCTAATGTCATCCATGATGAGGAAGTGACTTATGACTGTTCCACTTTGGACACAGTATTCATAGCCACTGGTCTGGCTGAGGGAGTTCAGGCTTTTCTGCAGTCAATCCAGGCACTGCACAGGTTTGTGTGTCTGGTCTTCCAGTCTGGAGCAGTTGGTTCATGGGTTTAGGTAAAGCCGCGGTTTTTTCAGCCAATAGTTGTAAATTGTGTCAGGCTTTGGTTCATGCCAGCTTTTCATTCCTGAAACTCTGTCTTTAATGTCTGCCACTATAAAGGATATTGGTCTTTGTTCTGGGAGATTGCTGTTCAGATTGCAGATGGAGTATTGCTCAGTTTCAGCTCTGGGTGCATCTACTCTTGTATTTCAGCCCTGTCACTAAAAGTACACTCCTGACTGTGGTGCCGTGTTTATTCTCCTGACTTCTGCTTCTTGAGTGTACCTTCATGCTACATGTGACTTGGTATTCATACTTGATGGTGGGGATTATGGCAAATTCCCCTGACATGTCATCCTTGCCCCCCCCCCCCCCCCACCGCTGTAACATCTATGTTGTACCTTGTCAATCTCTAGGTGTGATAGTAAGTTTCTCTCTCAAATGTTGGAACACTGTCATTCTGCATGATGAATTTCCAAAGTTCATTTAAAAAACAACAAAGTTGTTATTGTTTTGTACAATTACTGAATGAAAAGGGTGCAGAAAGAAGAAAAATTTGTATAAAATGAAAGTATAATCATAGCCCTTACAGAGAAAAGTACCATATGGTTTGATAATGGTATAACTTTCCATAGAAAAAAATGAAACAAAAGGATCCAAACGCAGGTAAATGTAAAACTAAAACAGCAAACATCAGAATAAAATATCTGTAGATGTAGGAGATATGATTTCATTTATTTTTAATTTTAATTTTGATTTACGACTATGTTTGTATCAGAAATGTTTTACTGTTTAAGTAGTGTAGTGTCAAAAATTATTAAGAAATATTAGAAACGCTGAAATTAGAAGAGACTTGTCTAGAAATAAAAATAGATTTTTGCTTATTATTTATTTATTGATTGATTTTATTTTAACAAAACAAAACACAGTCACATAAAACAGAACAATACAAATCAAATAAAATGAAAGTTTAAGAAGTTAAATAAACTTTAAATAAAAATAAAATGTCAATCAAAATTTAATAATACTTTTAAGGTTTACTTTGTTTCTCATGACCACAGTTGACCTGATTATCTAAAACAGATGCATCATGAGTTATATTCAACATGCATGGAAAACCAACAGTCCCTAGTGGGCTTTATCTACATGTGGTCAGTCAGGTTTGGTGTTTTTTGGAGTACACTGTAACATACATTTTTTTAAACATTATTTGAAATGATTGYTCATCAGTCGTGCTAAAATGTTGCTGAATGACACTAATATGAGGGAGGAAAWAAACYAAAGCTGTAATACTTGAGCCTGTAYTTTTGTTGTTTCCATTGTGTCAAAAAAAGAGACAGAGACGAAATAAAACTTTAAAAGGCATCAGTGTAAAGTGTGGTCATTATTTCATTTCACTGTGCAGCTACAATACCACAGCTTCACAAAACTGCTCATTCTTCACTTTTTATGGCACAGTTGTGAATGTCATTGCGAGAGACCACCTCTCTGTACTAAGAATAAAATGCATGGATTGTATTAGCTGAAGATGGACAGTTTATTTAGATGGACTGTTTGACCAGTCATGTCTAATCATGTCACAGGAATTCTTTCAAGACTGGTGGCTCATTTCGTCTATTCAAATGTAGCGTCATTGTTTTTCTCTCTAGCCATTGATGTTGAAGCATCTCACCGTCTAAAGGGATCTTTTGTTATCCATGAAAATAACAATGGCTGAATGAGAGCATGGGGTTGAACATGTCTGTGGCACCAATGGGCCAAAAGACTGTACTTAATATAAAGGCATCGCAGAGAATGCGTCATGCTGCTAGCAGATGGTGTGAATTGGTTTATAAATGCTTGAGTGGGCTGTCAAATTTATGTGATGTGGCATTTCACCATTTGTGATGTATAGAGGAAAAAATATGATGTGATAACCAAGGACGGCGCGCTATCTGTTCTGTGACGCCGAGCGGGGGGGAATCTGATCTTAAAGTGCGAATTTGTTGGGAATAATGGCTTTCACAGTGCTCTTGGATAAAGCATCTCATTTTGTAGATGTCACACGGTGTGATCAGTGGGGACTTCTGTATGGTATTTCAACCCAGAGATGCCTTTGAGATATGAATTCCTGGCAGACTGCACTCCCAAGGCTTCACGTACCTCCTCTGAAGCAAAACATTTGCATTTACCACACATGCATTATTGTTTGAAATTGTCTTAACACAAGCTACCCTTCTCAGGTAAAAAATAAAATAAAATCTCTGCCAAGGGTTATTTTTCTAGTTCAAGGTTGGAAAAATCTGCTATGACCACAGTCCTGTTAATAAAACCTTTCACTAAGGCTCCATTTATAAAAAGAGCTGAGCACTATTATCTGCTTACTTTGGATTTTATCATTCATTATCTCATAAATGTTTATCATAACATGTCTCCTTTGTACAAAGTGCAGCATTAAGGATATGAAAAGTAAGGCTTAATTATTTTTTCACTTGTTCCAGGGCTGCTCTGTTATCTTTTTAGTTCTTTGCAGAATAAAGAAATGTAAACTTATTGCGTCATTTACATAAAGGATTTACTGTAGTTATTACAAGTTATATAACAGCTAAATGTTAAGAATAGTATGGATCTCACAGGAGCTAAATTTGAAAACCTGAGCATAACATATTTTCATAAGAGGCAGCTCACTTGCAAAGCAGCAAATTCTTAAAAAATTATTAAAATAAAATGAATAAATAAATGAATGAAGAGGTCCACAGTTAAGGTTCTTTTGGCTTTATCTAAGAGTTAATTGGATGTCTAAGCCTTTGGATAACTGATTAATGTTCCTCAGGATAATTCTTCATCTGAAGCATAACTCTTTTTTTAATGTGCAGCCTGAAAGCTGACATGGCCTAATCTCGTGAGTCACCACATCCAGTCCTGCCATTCTGAGCTGCTCTGCCTCCTCCACAACCACAAACCCCAAACACGCTCGCAATCCATCCCACAGAGTAGACCTAAAGTAGTTTCTGGGCTCTCATGCCCACTGAGATACATTTAAATCAGGGATGTGACAGCTGTGCGTATATGTATGCTATGAATATAAATGTTGTGAGCGAGGCTCTCGAAAAAATAAATATGGGTAGAATAAAATTTAATGTAGAAAGGCTGGTTTTATAAATGCTGTCAGAGATGAAACATCTAAGCTGTTTCTGCTCGTTGCTCAACAGACGAAGGTAAATATAAATTGATTGGAAGTGAACTCCCACAGTGTGGAGAACTATAGTGTTCACAGCTTGGTGAAGATGCAAAGTGAAGTGTTGTGGGCTTTAGAGAGACGAGAGTCTCAACAGTGAATCTAAAGATATATGATTGGTTGCGTTGATAGACAAACTGTATTACCAAGGGCCTGTACTGTGATCTTTGTTCAGAACAATGAAAAGCTTGCAGGGTAAGGAAAGGATCCCCCACTGACAAGGCGGGGTTTACTGTAGTGTTCCCTAAAAATCGTGATGTCCGAAACCTTGGTACGATAAAAAGTGGTCATTGTGATAGGAACAGATTTTACAACGGTTTTGCAAAGTAGTCATGCCAGTGAAAATAAACATATGGAAATAAAAAATATATAATAATTTTGGTTTTATTTGCAAAAAACTTGCCTGAAGATGTCGTTTTGTTGGGCCAAAGTGCACAGAAAACTGAATGGTTGTTAAAGCTACCGTTGGCTTCACTGATTTCCATCTTGATTTCTGTTGGCTTTTATTCATGTCACATGACTGTCAAGTTACTTAGTTTGGGTTATTTTCTGTGGGTTCTGAGAATAGGCGTAATTTCCGGGGGTATGACCCCTCACAATAACTTGATTGAGTCAATATAACCCCCAAGATTTATGAAGTCACATTTGTTTAAGCATAATTAGTGAAAATGACATGCAGGGTTTTAGTCTGCTCTTTTCACATTATGACTGTTTTTGTTGAATCATGTGTTGTATTTTTTTTGCTAAATTGTAGTGCACCAGATAAATACATTTAGAAAATTAAGAAATTTAGCTATTTATTTATTTACCATTTGACCAGGCAAATTCCATCGAGATCACTGATCTCTTTTGCTAGGGAGGCCTGGGCCTGAAGGTGACCTATGGTACAAGGTTTTATGCTGTGGGGGAAACCGGAGAAAACCCACACAAGTACAAAGAGAACATGCAAACTGAGGCATTCTGTGTCTGACATTGGTTCTCTCCTGCTAATTGGCCAAACTCAATGCAGATGCAGCTCATCTGGATCATCAGCTCTCAGCATTCTTAAGGCGCTTCTGAGGAGCAGATCTTCGCTGATGCATCACTTGCTCTAGGGTAAAGCACCTCAGCCTGAGTTAAGTCTGATTTCGTGAATATTGTTAACCTTTGTCTCCCTGTGAAMTTACCTGTGTATAGAATAACACCTCCTGAAGCGACCTGCTCACTCACCGTCCTGTCTGAGAACAATTGCCCAAGAGCCACTTACCTGATCCTCTTTGAACCACTGCCTGTCTGCCTCCAACGTACTTTGGAACCTGTAAAACTAAATCTGGACTCCCCTGGTAATACTCACCTTTGGAAACTGGACCTTCTCCTCCGAGCCACATTCATCTCCACAAGCTGTAAGAAAACCTCACCTGTTAAATCTTCTAAAGAAAATCAATTCTCAAGTAAACTGGAACTTGCCATTTCCCATTCCTTCCACAACCCGGATCCCTTTACCCAATCACCTGTAAATAAAAGCACTTAACTTTGTTATTCTGGTTTCCTGTGTCTGATTGTTATGAACTGCTCACCTTTGACAAAACCTGTGCTTGTGTCACAAACTCTACACAGAAAGACCCCCAGGTTTGAACTGGGGATTGAACCCAGGACCTTAGTTTGCATACCAGGTACAGTATGTCATACAGCGGGTAAAAAAAGTATTGAACACGTCACCATTTTTCTCAGTAAATATATTACTAGAGGCGCTAATGACATGAAATTTTCACCAGATGTTGGTAACAACCCAAGTGATCCATACATACAAAGAAATCAAACCATAAATGTCCAGAAATGAAGTTATTTGTAATAATGTGGAATGGCACAGGGAAAAAGTATTGAACACATGAAGAAAGGGAGGTGTAAAAAGGCATTAATAAGTAATGCACTGAACCAC